AAGGAGGAGGAGTTAGGGGAGGAGGAGGGAGGCGGAGGGGAGGAGGAGGAGAGGAGGAGGAGGAGGAGGAGGAGGAGGAGGAGGAAGAGGAGGAGGCGGAGGAGGAGGAGGAGGCGGAGCGTAGGAGGAGGGTAGGGAGGCGGAGGGGCGCAGGAGGGGAGGTGGAGGAGGAGAGGAGGCTAAGGAGGAGGAGGGAGGCGGAGGAGGAGGAGGGAGAAGGGAGGAGGGAGGAGGGAGGCGGCGGCGGCGGACGCTGACATGGACGCTGGGTTGTGTTCGTGCTGCTGACTATGACTTTGCATAGGCCCCTCGGGGCCTGGCAAGGCCCAGGGGCGACAAAAGGGGACAGGCTATTCAGGCCATAGGATGGCCGACAACTCCCATGGAGCGCGGCGTTTTGCGCCTTCCCTCACGGGCTTCCTGTCTGTTCTGCTTGATTCTTGCCAACTGCTCTGGCGTGAGCTGAGGTGGCTGTGGGAGCGGCAGACGGGAGGAGGCCCCGGGCGCAAGCAGGTTGATCGACCCTGGTGGCGGAGCTCCGCCGAGGTCGAAGTGCCGCGCCGCCTCCTCCTCGGCCTCGAGGGAATCCTCGGGCGGGGGCGGGTCCTCGGGGGGGTTACCTCGGGAAACCCCACAGGGGCCACAGGAGGGCAAGGAGGGGACCCGGAGGAGGCGGAGGAGGGAGGGGGAGGGGGGTCAGGAGGAGCCCAACGCCACATCTCAGGATCGTCTCTACGTTTAGAGCCCTTGTTGCCGGCCAAGTCGGGTGCCTCCCAGAACTGCTCGGATTCGGACCACGGCACAGAGAATTGTCTCACCCTCGCGTCGTCATACAACCGTGTTGTGGTTTCAGCTTCCGGTGGTGCTCCTGTCCGTGGAAGGCATCTAGGGTGCTGTCGTGCATGGCTCTGGCGATCGCCAGGCACATGGATGGTGGGTACGTCTTCTTTTCACTCGTTTTGAAAGTACCGTCGTCGTTCTTGCCCAGCAGGGCTGCATGGGCATTAGGGCCGTGGTTGCACTTGCCGTTGTTCGTGGCCTTAAGAAGACCATGCATAGTAGGAAGCCGAAGAGCCAGTATCCTAGTCGCGGCCTTGCCGTGTAAGCTGGGATCCTCCGTACGGTGCCTGCACCGATCAAACTTATCAGTGCTGACAAGAGGATAGCTTTCGAAGGCTCGGAGAGGCATCCAAGAAAAGCTTGATGGCGCCTCCAGGCGCCACGGAGCTGGCGGGGGATGCTCGATCCAGCCGCTAGTGCCAGCACGTACGCGCTCGGCTAGGAGCTGTGTGATGGCGAAAAGTAGAAGGTTGCCCACCCTAATCTGTTCCTGCTGTGCCTGTGTGCACCACGGTACTCCCCATATGTAACGCTGGGTGCGGAGAGGGGGGGGGCTCCCGTCGTTCCAGCGTGCAGCACTCCAAGTCTCGCATGGTGCCCCCCCCTGTAACCCACACCCGTCGGCTCCTGATATGCTCCGTCCATTCTGTGACTGGAGAGGTGCGGGTAAGGTGTCGAATAATATGGTGTATGGCAATATCTATGTATAAAACCGTAATGTGAGGTCAACATCGTGAGTCATGGCACCAATATGGTACTGGACGTCTCCCCGGCGGCGCCTGCCGCAGAAGAGGTTCACCATTAAGATTTCGGCCCTCATGACTTTTCACGGGAGCGGAGAGGCAGCAACGTCGTCATAGTCGTTAGGTCGGAATATGTAGTAGCGATCCTCGAACTGGAAGGGAGGAGGCTCCTTAGGGGACTCTGGAGGAGTATCTTGCCAAGCCAGCATAAGTGTGGGTAGGGCTTCCAGAGGGTACTTGGACCGAGCTTCTCTGATAACCTGGCGGGCCTCCAGCTTCCGTAAAGTGAGAATACACCCAAGTCGCTTCCCAGATCATCCCATTCATGCCAACCGTCGCGGGGTATGCTGGCTTCCACCTGCCCAACCCCGCCTTGCGACGCATATCACACAGTTGTTTGTCTTGCAGTGCTGCCTGTTGTGCTTGCTCAGCCGTGAGAGTGGGACCCTTGCAAAAGTAGGAGAGGGAGCAGCGAACCGAATCGAAAGCGAGGTGGTCGCGGACCTGCCTTCTCGAGGCGAAGTCGGTGCCACAGGCCTGGTACTGGGATCCTCCGCCTAGGAAGCGCTCGACCTGTGTGACCATGCTGAAATGTGTTCGGACAATGTGCTGCCGCAGCGCCTTTGGCCGATGGAACTGAAACTCACACCATGTACATTCCAGTGCTGGCGCGCTCGCTTCGACTCCCATTCTCAACGGATGTTGTGGATGCGTGATTGGTAGCGGAAAGCCGCAAAGCCTCGTGATAACAAAGAAGATCTTTTCTGCTTCATCAGTCAGTGCAGACCTCGCTGCAGCACCCGCAGCACTAGCTGTGGCCTCTCGCAGGAGACGCTTCCATGCAGGCAAGGAGTGGTGGATGTGCTTTTCCCAAACATTGGAATCCTCGTCTGAGGCAGGGTAGTTCCGAAGAGGCT